TGGGTTGATAAAGATCTGTAGCCTTCCGTTGGAGTTGGTACAAAGATGGTACAGACACCTTCTAGTTGATGTTATATAGGTAATCTCTTGCACAGATTTTTCTAAGAAGGAGTTTTCCATATGCACAGAATTTTCTACAAGTGCCTTGCAGATTCCCTGCCATTGCAGAGCCTTCAGGCATCAAGGTTGCCATCCCCGTGCTCCCAGGTCTCTCCTGAATGTGATTCACCGTTCAGTCTCCTGGGGAAGGAGCTCCTGTAGTTTGGCTCCAGGATAACACTTGCATTGTGACTACAGTCTGTTAAGGATTCGGAGTAGATGTGTCAGTGGTCCGCTCGGACCACTTGGTGTAGAAGGACGTTCCTACTTTGAAATGACAGAGATAAAACTTATTTTGCTGATGAAATCAACATTTAGAAATGAGTACACCCTGCTTCCCCTATGCCTTCTGTATGATTTATGTGGTGATTTCTCACAAAGAATTACACTTCTTATTTAATGGGAGAGATGGCAAAAGTGGGCATATTTTATTAGTAACTTTTTAAGGACTACATTGTAATATATAAACATAAAGGGGTCAACCATGGACATCTTTAATGTTGGTATTTCTTAAATTTTGAGTTCCTAGGTGTCCAGTTTTATGTTTAAGAGGCAAAAGGTTTTTTGAAAATGAACTTTGTAGAGCTTTAACTCTGGAAAAATTAACTATATTCTGTTAAAGCTCATGCATTACCAGTATAGATGTCAGTGATAGTATATTAGCTGGGCCAGATTTTTGCACTGCAGATAGCAAGCCTACACAAATACTTGAGATAATGGAATTGAACAGATATATTAGACACCTAAACTTGTATATAATAGCTCATGACCTGCTCATGGTCAACTCAAATCCTCATAACGGTGGCAATGTTGATTTCCACACTGAAGAGGCTTATATGGAGCTAACACTATAAAATGTTATTTTTTAAAAATTGAAGTAAATAAAAGTCATATGTCAGTAATTTCTATAATTGCTCTAGCAATGATAAAAATTAACTCCTAGTGCATCGTTTGACCTTCCTGTGAGGCAAAGGATGTACAGTTCCATATTTCACAGCAGAACTAAAATAAAAAATTTTGGCATGCTAAAAAATCCCGCAAATAACTGTGTCTGTCTACTACAGTGTGCCAACAATTGATTTTCAGTTAGGTACCTGAAAGAAAAATAGATTTAATTGATCTACAATAATTTCTTCATTTTTTCTCAGTGAAATGAAAAATGGAAAATACTTCCCTCAAGTTAGGAAAATGCCCAGATCACCAGGTGTGGAGTCATTTGTCTTTAGCTGCCCAGTACTCCTGGCTCCATTCATAGTTGAGTATTTTCTGAAAAGGGGGATGACTGTAACAGGAAAACTCTGTGAGATCAAACTCAGAATGGATCTCTAGGCCCAGGTTGAGTTGTGTAGTACAAGGTACCCTGCCTTGCTCGAGGAGAGGCATGGTCAGAGTTGCTAATATGACCTGGTGATTTCAACACCAACAACCTGGTGATCTTAAGGGGTACCAGTAAGGCTTCCCTGTAAAAAAAACCTAAGCATTGGTTTACAGCAAGGACAAGAACTTGCAGCACTTAGAGACTAAGATCAGCCTGTGCTAGCATGGTTGTGTAAAGGCTACCTAGCAAGAATGATGATTTTAATTTGTGCCCTCTTGGATAGAGGAAGAAATTGAGTTCAGATGCCTCTAAAATTTGGGCTGAGTGTCACAAAGAAAGAAGATATGAATGGCTGCTCCCAGATAATGCAATTAGTTTTTTTAAACTTTATTCACACACTGTCTTGCTTCCATCCATCCCCCCTTCTCTCTCTCTTTCTGCCAGTCCCCTAGTAACTTTTTAATTTAGTAGCACATGTAAACCCAAATTTCTTGTGGAACAGATGCCAAGTTTGCATTTGATCGGATTCCTCCAGTGTCCTTCAAGAGGGAGTCTGGGATTACCGCCCTGGTCGGAGCAGGGCGGCAGCACCGCCGGGCTGCGTGTTTTGCTTGGCAGCGACGGGCTGGCAGCGTGGGTGCACAGCCCGGGAGGGAGCCTGAGCAATGGCTGGGGGGCCCTGGGACAGCAACAGCGGGAGGACAGGACATTCAGGGCACAACGGACACATGTTCACAAGAAAATGGGTTTCACTGCTCACAGACAGCCATTTATCCTAATTAGGCTCTTGGCAATCGAACTTAATTTCATGGGTAGTTCTGAGCCAATCAAAACCACATATATGACAAATATATTTTGTCTGACTCCTTTCTAAAGCTATTTGGGGATAAATTTCCATGACCTAATAGATTTGATAGTTCATATAAATTTGCCTTTGATCCATTGCATTCCATTAGCCTCATGCCTAAAGTTTAGGAGCGCCAAGGTGATGACAAGAGAGGAATTGTAATTACGCTCTTCTCCGGTGGCTCTTTTCTCAATACTTTGAAGTAGAGGATTATTCAGAACAACTGTGTATTTTTAGAAACACTTTTGTGTAATATAAATGTAAAAGCATTCTATACAGCTTGTTTTATGCAGAGGATCAGATTGCAGTGATTGTGTTTTAGCGCTCAAAAATCAAGTAAAATGTTGGAGGAAGAAAATCTAACTAAATGGAAGAGGTGGTGCTGCAATGCTAAAGAGTTATGGTGTATCTGTCAATTAGAGGAGTTATTTTCAAGATGACATGAATTGGAAGTGTTATATCTACAGAATAATAGTTACATGAAGGAAAGCATTTTAGTTATGCAGGAGACTTCTAATCTTTGATTTTCGAAAGAAAAATGTTCTCCCTTTCACCCAACGAAAATCTTTAAATTTTCAGTATTTGGGGTCTAATTCAGACACATGCTGAACACTCCCAAATGATGCTGGAATCTTTGAGGTTGAGATTCTTCAGGTTTTTGCAGCAATGAAATGTTAAAATATTGAGATCTTATTCTTAAAGTAATTTCATGAAGTTTGCAGCCAACAATTAGTTGTAGTTCTGTTCCTCCCAGGGAAATGCTAAAGTCATTGCATTAGAGGCATTTACCACTGCAGTTTATTCTTTTTCCTTTCTTTCTTTCTTTGTAGTTTCGAAACAACATGTGTACAACACACAACATTTAGGAATGCCATGCTTTGAGGAGAGTATTAGCTTATAATATTTTCCACATTTGTATTGCATCAGAATACCTCTCTCCCAATCACCAGCAGTAGTCACAGGTGTTACAACATCGCAGATTCAGAACGGCAGATTACTGGTCCTCATTTGCTATCTCTGTCATCTCTGGCAAAGCTAATGGAGGATGCTACTGGTATCTTCCTGAAAACCAAAAGTTACTCTTAATGCCAATAAGAATTAAGCCTGAGGATTTCAGCTCAGGAGTTTAATGCAATTTGGATTGGTTTAATTTTCATAGTATTTAAATTTAATTTCATTCCACTTTCCTAGGAGAAGAGGAACAACAGCTAAGTATAATACATACAGTCTTGATATCAGTTATAGGGAATCACAGAATAACTCACAGAATCAAAGAATGGTTGAGGTTGGAAGGGACCCCTAGAGATCATCTAGTCCAACCCCCTGCTCCAGCAGGGACACCTAGAGCACGTGGCACAGGGTGGCATCCAGGCGGGTTTTGAAGATCTCCAGAGAGGGAGACTCCACAACGTTTTTGGGCAGCCTGTTCCAGGGCTCTGTCACCCTCACAGTCAAGAAGTTCTTCCTTACATGGAGATGGAACTTCCCGTGTTTTAGTTTATACCCATTACCCCTTGTTTTGTCGCTGGCCACCACCGAGAAGAGTTTGGCCTTGTCCTCTTTACATTTTCCCCTCAGGTACTTATACATATTGATCAGAACCCCTCTCAGTCTTCTCTTGTCCTGGCTAAACAGGCCCAGCTCGCTTAGTCTTTCTTCATAAGATAGATGCTCTAGTCCCTTAATCATCTTTGTTGCTCAACGCGCTCCTCCTGATGCAGGCCAGGATCCCATTGGCCTTCATGGCCACGAGGGCACATTGCTGCCTCATGGTTAACTTGTTGTCAACCAGGACTCCCAAATCCCTCTCCGCGGAGCTGCTTTCCAACAGGTCAACCCCTAATCTGTGCTGGTGCCTGGGGTTATTCCTGCCCAGGTGCAGGACCCTGCACTTGTCCTTGTTGAACCTCATGAGGTTCCTCTCTGCCCAACTCTCCAGCATGTCCAGGTCCCTCTGAATGGCAGTGCAGCACTCGGGAGTGTCGGCCACTACTTTTCCCAGTTTGGTGTCATTTGCAAACTTGCAGAGGGTGCACTCTGTGCCCTCCTCCAAGTCATTGATGAACAAGCTGAACAGCACCGGGCCCAGTGCTGACCCCTGCGGGACACCGCTGGGCACAGGCCTCCCACCAGACTCAGCAACTTGTATTGGAAGGGATCTCAGGAGCTCATGTAGTCCAGTGTAACAGTAGAACTCTTGATTGACTTCTCTATATATAGAAAGTCAGGCCTTTAGAACATACCTTAGTCAGAAAAAAAGCATTCTCCTGACTTATGGAGGGATCTGTCTTTTTGAATAGCAATAAATAATAAATTACTTATTTGATAACTTAATTAGAGATCTGGTCTATAAGACAGATAAGAAATGAGAATGTTTTTGAGAAAACAAGGTATCATCAGGTCTTAAAACATGAGAAAAGAGTACTGAGTGGGCTCTGCACAGTAATCATTGCTTAGTTTTAATATATAAGGATTTATCTTTGTTTTCTTGTGTTAGTCTAGATTATGTAAAGCTTAAATATAACTATGTATTAACTGTAATATTGTAGGGGTTGTATATGGGGGGTTGTATGGGAGGAGGTGTATATTACATGAGAGTTGTATTTACGTATTGGCTGCTTCTTTGATTATCAGCTAGCCTCTGGTTTTGCTCTGCTGGTATAAGAGATTGGGATGCTCTGGAAAAGTCAAGATGTTGAATTACCCAAAAGTAAATGTATCTCTTCCTTCTTTCAGCTTCTCCAGTTGGTAACGGATATATCAAACCACCCGTCCCTCCTGTTTCCGGCACACAGAGAGAAAAAGGGCCTCCAGCCATGCTGCCTATCAGCGTTGACCCGGACAGTAAGCCAGGAGAATATGTCCTGAAGAGCTTGTTTGTTAACTTTACTACTCAGGCTGAACGCAAGATCCGCATCATCATGGCAGAGCCCCTTGTGAGTAAAAAAGAACTTTTAAAGTATATATATATATTTATACACACATACACCTTGCTCTGTATTCATTATTCATTTTCAGTCGTGCTCTACAATGCAGAATATTTGCTTCTAGACTACATTAGATTTTGATAGTGTTTCCCAAGTGATAAGATATGCTACTATGGCAAGCAGAAGGTCGTGGGAGAGGAGGGAGGTATGCGACATATGCCAAGGGGGTGACATGAAAAGGAATGAATATGTTAGTTATGTTTGTAATAAAGAAGGGAAGGCAGTGTAGATTTCATGGCTGGGAGGGATGTCACAAGAGGCAAAATAGAAAATGCTCAAATATGGTAAAGATGGTATTTCAGAATGTTACTGAATTTCCAAAACTAAAAGATGAAAATCAATAGCACTACTGCTTCCCATTTTACTTCTATGACTGTAACAGGTTTCACAGCCTAATAAGGTGCTATAGCCCCTCATTTTCCAGATCCCAAAAAGTGATAGTGTTAGAAAGAAGGAGCTACTTTACAAGGTCTAGCAAAGTCAGTAAGAGAAATATCATTTCTTTTATGCAAATTTGGGCAAATTGAATTTACAATTTGCCAAACTGTCTTATGTAACTGAAATTCTGGGAATCTTCTCCTTTAACTTGAGACTACATTCCATATATCCTTCTGTGGATTTGAATGGGCAAGAATAGTTGGGTAACCTACATTTTAATTCTGACAATGTAAAAGTTAAAAAATTAAATAGGAACATTGATTTCTGAGTTATAAAGAAACAGCTTGCAACATTTCTTTTATAAAGCACAGTACAGAATGGTTAAATCAGTACCACATTTTCAGGTCTGGAGATTCTGAATAGTAAAATTAAGTAAGTTGTCTTGATTCCAATTAAAACATTTTAATTCCATGCCTTGCTTTAGATTCAGAAGGCTTTGGCACACTTGGAAAGTTTTTCCAGACTTTCCGCTTAAAACATTAGGTAGATGCAAGATGGAAGAAATATCATACATAATTTAGAAATAACAGGAAAAAACTAAAGTCTTCTTTAAAGAGTCCCTCCAAATTACAAAAAGAAATAGAATAAAGAAACTAAAAATCAGGTCTTTAGAAATAAAAGGGTGACAGAAGCTATTTAGTACCATCTTTTCTTCATATGATCCATAGTAAACACCTTTAAAATTTAAAAACAAAATTAGCTGTGAAATTATTTGACAAGAAGAGAAAGAACAGAGCGACAATGTACTGAGAAATGCCAAAATGATTTACATTTGCTGTGTGTTGATATATTCTTTTTGTTACTCTGTGAAACTATGAATGCCTGAGTATTGATTTTATGCCAGAGATCGTTCCATGAAATTTTATTTGGTAAACTCAATGTACAACGCACAAATATGACGAGTTACTAGAATTTCACTTCTCTTCGATATTTTCAGAACATTTTCCTCTAATTGTGAGAAACTAACAATAATTCAACATTATATTCACATCTAATTTAATATGAATAGAGCTTAGAAGGTATAATGCTATATTTGAAGGTGACGATGACAAATGGAAAAGTAGGCCTTTATAGACCTACTTGGTTTGTTATGAAAGGAATGGCATTTGTTATGAAAGGAATGACAAGGGAAAATGACAAAACAAAAGTCTGGAATAATGATTAAGAAATTATGTTCACCATTTCTGGGGCTGTTGGATGTCTAGGCGCTATTTTTCCTGTCTTTCTACTCTGCTGACCAGGAAGTTCTATGTATTTCTACACTGTTGACCACTTATGTGGCTAGGAATTTCCAGGGTTTTTCAGGATAAAGTTTATAAAGTTCGTGATGCAGAAAGGTCCTTCTTTTTTTTTTTCACAACACATAGTCCAATGTTGAGCTCCTTGAGGATTATGTTCTAATTAAACTCAAGTGTACTTCAAAGGAAATCAAATGAAGTGCTCCAACACTGAGATGTTTCTAGGCTGAATTCTCTTAGTCATTGCAAGAAATAACTGTTTAATTTTATGAGTGATAAATATTTAAGATACCTTTTAGAGAAGCTGAAAAAAATCAGTATTCAAAGTAATTGCTTTTTCCTCTCTTTTATCACAAAGTCTATCAAGATTCAAGCTCTGAATTTAATATAGTGTTAAATTAAGGGTGTAGAGTTTTTGTTTGTTTGTTTGTTTTTTAACCGAGGTATTTCTTTTGGTACATAAATCTTACCTGTGCAGCATTTCTGATTGTGGCTACTATTGTCTTTTTCTCTCTCAGTTTTTTGGGGTTTCTTATGCCTATTGAATATATCCAGCTTTTTCCTTTCTGAAGTGTACAAGGTTGAACTGTAAGTTACAGGGTTATGACAGCTATGGTGGAAAGCTAAATTTGCATGATACCATGAGGAGATGGCATAAAAATGTTTTACTACTTATTTCTTAGGGCAGCAGTGGAGGGCACCCGAGCTGTTCCCTCCTGTAGCCCTATGAAATTTCAGCTGGAAAAGCAAGATTCCAGCAGCAGAGAAAGCCCCGGGCAGTGTCACCCATTCCTCCTGCTGTCAACCAAGGATGATTTGATGTTCTGGTTACTAGATCTGGCTGTGATCCTCAGTAAAACTCACTTCCCAGTTAATATGTTTTCTGGGCATGAATCTAATATAGACCATCCACTGTTCATTCTGTAAAACTCTTTTTTTTTGCATTACAAATACAATTTCACATTTTTTTACCAACTTTTTTTTTTCAAGTAGAACTTAGAATAAGGAAACCAGAGAAATCATTTTGGTAGTGGAAATGATAAAATGTATTTAAGGATCATAACATAATGAGAAAACCTTAGAAAACAGTTTCCCTTTTGGGACAGGCAGTAATTCACCCTGACATGGTACCGCTCAGCCTGCTTTATTATCCTGTGCTGAGAGCTGACCTCTCTCCTTTTCATAAGGAAAGCAAGGCACCTATGCAGACTCTCACAGATAAATGTGTAACCTGTGTGTCCAATCCTTCGTTATACGAAGCCCCACAGTTCTGCTGCAGGGAGGCACCAGGTCGCTTGTCGAATGGGGCCAATCTAGGTCTGTCCGTCGCCGTCCCCAGGGAAAAGCCCCGTCCCGCGGTGCCCCCAGCAGCTGTCGGCTCAGCGGGATGTCTTTGCTGCAGGTCACCGACTGTATCTTAGGTCAGCTTTTTAGACCAACGGTTGGACTCAATACAACTCCCAGGGGTGCCTGAGGTCTGGGTTTAGCTTCTGCATGGCTTGTCCCTTTGGTTCTGTTTGTTTTTCTCAGACTTTCCAGCAGCTAACTTCTCTGTGCTTCAAGAAAGTAGTCAAGCAAAACAGTGATCTCATCTTGACTCTCCCCTGCTTCACTAATAAGCTTTTGTTGGGACTTCACTATTGCTTGCTTCTCCAGATAGAGTTCAGCCACCCCAAACTTTCTGGTACCTACCCAGGCTCTGCTAGGGACAGTGCAGCCCAAGCTGGATCAGATCAGCTTTTCTTTCCTCCCACAAAGGAGAGAGGTTAGCCTGAGAAAAAATTCTCTATGCAACAAGCAACATCCACTCATTTAACCAAAGGACGTGAAGGTAGAAGAGTACAGGAAAAATCAAGCTTTGATACAGCAAATGGAGAGTATCAAATACAGCAAAGACCATTCCAGTAGCATGGAAAACCCTTCTTTCTTTTTTTTTTTCCCTCTTCCACTCACTGAGAAATAAACCCCCTCTAGTTATCTTGGTGCATATCTGAGGCTGACATATCCAGAAGAAACCCAGCACTGCACACTATGGAGCAATACCCCTCTAGAGATGCTAATCTTGAACCTCAGGACAGTTATTATCCTGAAAGACCTAGAAAGGTCCATGTGATTGTAACAGTGGCCACTGATGCAATGTCGTCTATGTAGTCCAGAGGGACACTGTGAGAAAGGGTTTGAAAGACACTGCTGGAGAAAGGTACAGTAGGAGACAAATATAGAGCTTCAGAATTGGGGGGAGTGCAGGAGGAGGATGCAACATGGGTCGCATTCCATATTCCATGTGAGATTGAGGGAGAAGTTCATTCTATTTTAGCAATCAGGAAGGAAAAGGACACATTTTTGCATAGGCATCTGCAGCTGGATTCATGCCCATGAAAACTCGCCTTCATTTCAGAGCCAGGCAATGTCAACAGGAGCTTTCTCCTGACAAGTGATCTCACAGTTTCCATAGCTGGGCGTGTGGGCAGAATCCTGTTTGAGGCTGCAGATCTCATTCTGACAACAAACCTTTCTGGGATGCTCCCTGTCCCTGGGCCTCTCCTGCACGGATGCAGTTGGAGCATGTGAGTGGTGTGAGTGGTGGTTCAAATTGCTAAGAGGATTTAATATTGAAACAGAGATTCAGTGTCACTGAGGCTGTCACTCTATATCACCTATTGGCTGCTGTTTGCAGATGTAGCAGAGAACCTTCCATGTGTCCCTAATTGCATTTCTATATTGTTTAAAAATATGGAAGAAAATGAAAGACATATTGTAGTCACCTTAGGTCATCCTTATCACTGGTCTGTTACCACAGAAGACAGAAGGAAAATCACATATCTATTTTGGTAACATTCTTGTAAATCGGTAGCAATTGGTAAACCAATATTTGTTATTTTTGCTACAGATTGATCCTTTAGAGTCACATTTAAAGTAAAGGAGCTGCTCAGTCAGGATTGCTGTGTGTTTAAAAATGAAATTCACATGACTTTTCCAGGGCCTGAATCTGGCATGGTTCAGTTCACACATTGGACAGCGTGACTTACTCCATTACTTTTACCTGAGCTAGAGTCTGCATATCTGTTAACATTGAAAATATAGGGAAAACTTAACTACGTTACTTAGCCAGCCTCCAGTATGGAAACAGTATGATAATGTCTTGTGTCCTTCACTGAACCTGTAATACAAATGGGAGCCCTGACTTTATGATCATCTCATTTGCAGTAAAAGATTCCTGAAGGCCAGTACTAGATAAGCAGGAGCATTGTGAGATCCTCCTTTAACATTTGT